CTTCTGGTAATACGCAACGATAGCTTTTGCTAGGGCCTGACGAATTGCATAAATCTGCAACATCACCAATATACATCAAACTTTTTGGAAGATTAAAAAAAAAACGTCATTATAGAATATTTCTTCCGCTTTGATCACGAGGAAAAGTAATTGGATGTGACCGGTTGCTGTTCAATAACTGATAATCAATAGGGAATATTAGTGAACAACATGGGAGGATCACCAAATGTCAATTACCCATCCTATAGGCCATGTTATATGGGTGTGAGACGTGGAACACTATGCCTTTTGAAAAATGGAAATTGGCAGTCTCCCAAAGAGCAATGGAGCGGCGGATGATTGGTGCCAACAGGCTGCAGAACATCCCAAATGAAGTGCTACGAGCCAGATCTGGCGTGAAAGATATTATTTAAGCAATATACGCCAGAAAGAGGAGGTGGGCTGGTCATGTGGCATGAATGTCAGATAACTGATGGACCAAGCGGATAATGGAATGGCACCCGCGCACAGTCAAGCGAACACTGGGAAGGACACCAGTGAGGTGGAGAGATTCCATGGTAGGCCTGCCTGCCTGTACAGTATCGCGTAGACTCTGAGAGCGCAGCAACGAATCGAATGGAGAAGTTGCCAGCGCTGCATCGATAGCGTGACAAGGGAAGTCGATGACGGTCATTTGGCAGCTTGCCAGAGAAGTAGGGCAACGTTACCCAGGCCGCAGCGGCTGCATGGCCTGGCTGGTGGGAAGGCGGGGCAGTAGAGGGAGCAGCCGTGGTTGTGGGCGTGCGTGGAGGGGTGAGCGGCGGTTAATTGCTCAAGTACTCAAGTAAGTAAATATTTGATGATATAAAATGGCCACTTGAACCGTCTCCTGGGAAGTAACATGCGTATGCAGTGTAGGGTTGGATGATGCACGAAAAAGTGTTGATTCGATAAATCCGAATTAGCTGTCGATGTGTCTCACTAATACCGTGGAGTACTGGACACCGGACACCTCTCAATATTATCATCAACATCAAAAAATCCAGCCTTTTCTGGTAGCACAGAAAAGAAAAAAGTAACCTGTGCGACATGCCCACCACCATGAACTCGCACTCGTATATCAACATCCTGATATCTATCCTTGCCAAGTACCAACAGCGGTTCCTAAAAATGCAAACATCAAGGGTTTTATTCAAAAAAACGAATGCCCAACAGCACTGTACTGAGCAGAAAATAACGTTCCAGAAAAGTA